CTTTTCCGGGAACACATTTTGTCACGGGTTAGTGGCTTCCGGTCATTCATGATTACTTAGCTCCCTTTAGAGGAATATTTGTGGAATATTTTATTCCCTGGAGCCTTTGTCACACTTTGGAAAAACGCACTGATAACTTTGATACACGAGAGCTATGGAAAATTCGCAGGAAAATACGTAAAAGAAATGAAATCTTACTCTCGCTCTAATTGGTTGATAGGTAAACGCGTTTCTTTGCATGATAGGCTGCGGGATTTTGGAAGAAATCGTGACAGTTGTGCAAACCCTTGACTGCGTTTTGAGTTTTTAAAATTCACGGTACAATTCGAAGATTCAACAACCCCGTTTCCCGGGAAACCCACAGGCATTTACTGCCGTCCGTATCCAGAGAGGGGAATTTTTTAAGCAAAATCCCATCACAATAGCATGACGGAGAAAACTTTGAAATTCTCACTCTTTCGTTTTATCTAAGTATCAGAGACAAGTTTGTCTCCGCCTTCTTTTAGGATTATTTTCATTTTGGTATCCTTTTTTGCTCCGTTAGGATGATTCCTAACGCAGTAAAATTCTATCTTATTTTATTTCTAGCTATGGCGGAGAGTAAACTTCCGACAACAGGCGAAGAACTGGATTTGAACAATAAGATTCGGGTCACAGGTGAGAGAAAGCAATAGAAAAACACTGTTACGTGGTAATTTTAAAGCGGTTCTAATGTTTAGTGGTGGAATAGTTAAGTACATCTTTAGCGGGCATTATTAAGACCAGGAACGGGGAACGGGAAGTCTGGGACCGGAAGTACAGCAGTAATCCCCGTAACGATTCAAAATGGTGGATGACAACACGGAAAAAAGGATCTGGACACCACTTTTGAGCAAGCACTTTTCAAACTCGGTCGTTATAATTAGAGCAATTCGCATGGACTGTAAATAAATTGTTATCAATAATGATTCATTTTAATAAGTTTTCCTTTTCATATTTTTGCCTTTTTCTTTGGCAATATTAATAATGTTTATCAAATGATCGAATTTCAGGGACAAACGAAAGTCAAGTCACATCAAATGACACCAAACTGGAGGTATACGATGATCCATTAAGAGGTGAGAAATTAGATTCTTTAAAAGACGCCTCGGTGTGGTTTTGAACTTGGCACATTTTCATTAAAGTTTTTTACTTATTCCGTGAATAACTTTTGAAACAAAAACTATATGTTCGAATTTCAAACTTTGTCACAAACTTTGTCACCAGAGAAACACTGAATTTTATTGCTGCGTGGGTCACGAACAAGCTGTAGGTGCGAGGTGTACAATTGTATACATATATATGGAATGAAAATCATCATTAAATCTATTACCGCTAGAAATAAAAGAAAAATGTAATGAAAAAAATTAGTATCATACTCAGTATCAGGGATAGATTTGAATCAAAATCAAAGAAAATGCCGAGAATGATTCTCATTTACACCACGTGCACTTTTGCAGTTGTTTATATATTATGAATCACTACCATTGCTAAATATATCCTGATACAATTGAAAAGCATTTGTGACAACTAGGGTCGAGAGGAGACTGATGGAGGAAATCAAATGGACAATAATGTTTGCAAATAGTTTATCTGATTCTGCGTTCCTTCAAACATACCACACCATGTATGGCCAGAGTTTGCGAATTTCATTGGTCTGAAGACCATTTTAAGTGATGCAAAACATCATCTTAGAGTTACCGGTTTGCAAAACTTTTAGATATCAATGGGCTGAGGGTTTATGGTCGGCGGGCCCGTATACACATTAACCAACTGTTTAAAAAAGAACGAAAGACCTGTAAAGGATAGGAATTAGAAAGGGGATCTAACGACATGAAAATGAAACTTTGTTAAAACGAAATCATTAATGTTAAACCGGTGTGTTTTCAGATATAGCAAGAGTATGTCTCGAGGAAGGTAACAAAGAATACAGACAGGGAGAACATCAAAACGCGATAAACTCCTACTCGGAAGGTCTTCAAGTGAACTGCGAAGATAAACGGCTGAACGCCAAGCTTTATAGCAACAGAGCAGCAGCTCATTTCCATTCGGGTAAGAATCTTTTTAAAGTAACTACTAAACTCCTCATGGAACCTAATCAGTGAAGATAATGAATGTACACTGCACTAATTTTAATCAGGATTTTGTCCTCGCCTGATCTCTTCTCTGCCATTTTTGCATCCTTTTTATCGCCTGAATATTGAAATCAAACTGGCAACTTTAATATTTCATGTCGATCTCACACACGCGGAAATTCTCCACTAGGATGAAATTCTCAAGCAAAGTTTCATCGCAATTGTGAGATATTCTTACCGTAAAATTATGATAAGCATAATTGCCAAATAAATTGCAAAGCAACCAATAAGAATATCGAAAAATTCCACACAGGTTCGAAGACCAACATCTCAGGACTGATGTTGTGTTACTCATTTGTGGTTAGAATTAATTATGCCTCTAAATCACTCAGTATAACATCTTCCATTTCGAATTTTCGCGTCTCAGCCGGTTTACGATTATGTCAAGCTAAAAAGGAACAATTTAGTTTATGGTGGTGACCCCTCAAAAAGCGCGTATCTTTAAATCAAGGTGGTAATCCTCTTACGTGACGTCATGTCCTCCCTCGCCAGTCGTTGTGACTCGACTACCGAAATAATGGCTCGGCCATCTGCTAACTTAAGAATCAATGATTTTTTTTAAAAAGACGAGTTTTATGTAGAAAAAAAGGAAGGAATCCTCTCAAAAGATGCCTGGAAAAACAATCAAATATAGGCAAAGCGCTTACAGGGTCATATAGTCTAAAGTGAAGAGAAGCCATAGAAAAACCAAAATTCCCAGATCCGAGTAATCAACTTATATATTATTCATCATCTTCAAGGTTGCAAAGAACAATACTTTTTCCAAAACACATTGTTCCCTAAGGAGAATTGAAACAATTTGTAATGCAGCACTTAGGAAATTCGGGTATGCGTCGGCTTATTCACCATAAGAAGGCAACTCCAGCGATGGACTAATATGATACCAAAGAAGCGTAGAGCTGCTTCTTTGATAAGTAAACCACAAACTAAAATCAATATGAGGACAATTGCCCTAAGATGAACTCTGTGAGTTTCTTGTGACCATACTCAGTTGCCAAGTTTAAAATATCTAAAGGACAAGAGGCGAAAAACGAAGGTGTTTGACCACATTCTCTTAATGTCGTATATAAATTCCCGCGCAGTAGAAATCTGGGTCAAAATGTAAACCTCATATCCCCTAATTTTACCCAATAAAATGATTTTCGCCTGGTTTTAATTAAAGCCAAGTCTAGGACAGGTATAAAGACGGATACTTAAATTGGCACACGATGACGACTGACACTTAGTTCCTGAATTCCTTAGGAAACTACGAAGAATGTCTCAATGATGCAACAGTTTCTGTTCAGTTGGAACCCAATTTAATCAAAGCTATTAAGAAAGGTGGGTGTTGCAGTCAAAATTCATCAAATCACTTTACTGCAGAGAATTGTATGGATTACGGCAGCTGACTGTACCTCGGGTATCAACAATAACTGGCCCGTAAATGTTTGCTATGTAAATAAAAAGCGCAAGTTAAGGTTAGTGAGCTATAAATGAAAATTAAACCAGTAATGGTTCATTCACACCAAAGATTAAACATGTTTGAAGTCGTTTTGTTAAACACAGTTTAAATTTTTTCTTCATAGACTTTGTATAAACCGATGTTAGTCGACTTCAAATATAACATATTGAAAATGCAAATAAGCGATTGTATGAATTCTATGGAAAATTCAGTTTTTCAGCCCTCTCTTTCTGGTTTTCATTCAGTTAAACCCGGTTTAACTTAAAATGTTTTGCTGATGTGAATGGGTTGTAAGACGATTTTCTGGCTACTTTTGTTTGTGGATAGTAATTAATGAATTACCTCACGTTCTTACCTTCTCAGCCGCCAGTGCTTGCGTGGAGCTTTGCTTGTTCAAAGAAGCAAGGAGCTGGTTGCATATGGGATTGGCCGTATCCTTTGACGAGTGTTTCAAACGTGATACGCAAAGAAATGCAAGCAGTGTTCAATAACACCACACTGAGCAGTTAAAAGAAACTAAAATATTTTCAATTATTCCAAAACATTTCACTTGACAGAAGGGGCATTTTATCTAATTCGCAGAGTTTAAACTGAACGCCCCTCATTAGTGTCCCTCTAAGAATATCAGCAGGACGCCCAAACCAAACAACGACTACGCCTAATGAACTTGTTAATATTTATATCAATATTCACTCTGGTTAGAAAATATTTAATATAGGAAGTCCTCAAAAGAAATCCACTTTAGACAGGTATGTCCTTTTCTAAGGTTTGTTTAGGAAATAGCGCATGTTTTTTAGGGGTGTTTGAGAAAAATACCGCGACAGCGATGTTTCAAAATTCTGCAAAATATCACGAGCTTCAATTGAAGGAACGTCCAGGGACGCCAACATTACCCCCAAACTGTCTGGCTCATAGTTCGAGTCGTCATTCTTTCTGGGATAAAATCTTCTTCAGATTCACATCAATTTCCTTGGCTTCGAAGCTCATAATATCCGGACGAATCCGTTTTTCTTCAGCCCACGTCGTCCGAACTGTAGGCCACATAAAGGTCTTCATAATTTTCTTCGTGTTTACATTTGCTGCATTTTCTGTAAAATTCTTGTAGCTTTTTCGTTTCACAATCTGGAGATATTTCAGCCATTGTCTCAAAATTAGAATCAAAATAATTTCGGTTAACGTAAAAATGTAAATTTTAAGAGTAAGGTTTTAGGATTTGACTGACATACTTATTTTCTCGGCGAATCACATACCAGAAATGTCTCAACTTATAGAGTAATACCTATATTACTTTTATTATTATTGAAATTTGTACACATCCACTCATCAGTAATTTATTCTTAACCCGTTTTAAGATTGACAAGGATAACAAACCTCTGCTCTACTTACTGAGCAAATCTCAAACATTAATAGAGAGTCACGAGCATATTATAGAAAATGCCGAGGTAGAGAGAGAAAAGACCAAAGAGGGAACTCGTTGCAGCCTTCTAGGAATAGCTCATCATAATCTAGGACAGTTCAAAACAGCAATCGATTACCATCAACGACATCTAGAAATTGCTAAAGAAGTGGGAGACAAGGCCGGAGAGGGAAACAGTTATGCCAATCTCGGCTGCGCTTATGTTGGTCTAGGACAGTTCAAAACAGCAATCAATTACCATCAACGTCATCTAGAAGTTGCTAAAGAAGTGGGAGACAAGGCCGGAGAGGGAAACAGTTATGCCAATCTCGGCTGCGCTTATGTTGGTCTGGGACAGTTCAAAACAGCAATCGATTACCATCAACGTCATCTAGAAATTGCTAAAGAAGTGGGAGACAAGGCCGGAGAGGGAAACAGTTATGGCAATCAAGGCTGCGCTTATGTTGGTCTAGGACAGTTCAAAACAGCAATCGATTACCATCAACGTCATCTAGAAATTGCAAAAGAAGTGGGAGACAAGGCCGGAGAGGGAAACAGTTATGGCAATCTCGGCTGCGCTTATGTTGGTCTAGGACAGTTCAAAACAGCAATCGATTACCATCAACGTGATCTAGAAGTTGCTAAAGAAGTGGGAGACAAGGCCGGAGAGGGAAACACTTATGGCAATCTCGGCTGCGCTTATATTGGTCTAGGACAGTTCAAAACAGCAATCGAGTACCATCAACGTCATCTAGAAATTGCTAAAGAAGTGGGAGACAAGGCCGGAGAGGGAAAGAGTTATGCCAATCTCGGCTGCGCTTATGTTGGTCTGGGACAGTTCAAAACAGCAATCGATTACCATCAACGTCATCTAGAAATTGCTAAAGAAGTGGGAGACAAGGCCGGAGAGGGAAACAGTTATGGCAATCACGGCTGCGCTTATGTTGGTCTAGGACAGTTCAAAACTGCAATCGATTACCATCAACGTCATCTAGAAATTGCTAAAGAAGTGGGGGACAAGGTCGGAGAGGGAAACAGTTATGGCAATCTCGGCTGCGCTTATGTTGGTCTAGGACAGTTCAAAACAGCAATCTATTACCATCAACGTCATCTAGAAGTTGCTAAAGAAGTGGGAGACAAGGCCAGAGAGGGAAACACTTATGGCAATCTCGGCTGCGCTTATATTGGTCTAGGACAGTTCAAAACAGCAATCGATTACCATCAACGTCATCTAGAAATTGCTAAAGAAGTGGGAGACAAGGCCGGAGAGGGAAAGAGTTATGCCAATCTGGGCTGCGCTTATCGTTGTCTAGGACAGTTCAAAACAGCAATCCATTACCATCAACAACATCTAGAAATTGCTAAAGAAGTGGGAGAGAAAGCCGGAGAGGGAAATAGTTATGCCAATCTGGGCTGCGCTTATGTTGGTCTAGGACAGTTCAAAACAGCAATCAATTACCATCAACGTCATCTAGAAATTGCTAAAGAAGTGGGAGACAAGGCTGGAGAGGGAAACAGTTATGGCAATCTCGGCTGCGCTTATGGTGGTCTAGGACAGTTCAGAACAGCAATCGATTACCATCAACATCATCAAGAAATTGCTAAAGAAGTGGGAGACAAGGCCGGAGAGGGAAACAGTTATGGCAATCTGGGCTGCGCTTATGTTGGTCTAGGACAGTTCAAAACAGCAATCGATTACCATCAACGACATCTAGAAATTGCTAAAGAAGTGGGAGACAAGGCCGGAGAGGGAAACAGTTATGCCAATCTCGGCTGCGCTTATGGTGGTCTAGGACAGTTCAAAACAGCAATCGATTACCATCAACGACATCTAGAAATTGCTAAAGAAGTTGGAGACAAGGCTGGAGAAGGAAACAGTTATGGCAATCTCGGCTGCGCTTATGTTGGTCTAGGACAGTTCAAAACAGCAATCGATTACCATCAACGTCATCTAGAAATTGCTAAAGAAGTGGGAGACAAAACTGGAGAGGGAAACAGTTATGGCAATCTTGGCTGCGCTCATGTTGGTCTAGGACAGTTCAAAACAGCAATCGATTACCACCAACGTCATCTAGAAATTGCTAAAGAAGTGGGAGACAAGGCCGGAGAGGGAAACAGTTATGCCAATCTCGGCTGCGCTTATGATGGTCTAGAAAAGTTCAAAACAGCAATCGATTACCATCAACGTCATCTAGAAATTGCTAAAGAAGTGGGAGACAAGGCCGGACAGGGAAAGAGTTATGCCAATCTCGGCTGCGCTTATCGTGGTCTAGGACAGTTCAAAACAGCAATCGAGTACCATCAACGTCATCTAGAAATTGCTAAAGAAGTGGGAGACAAGGCCGGAGAGGGAAAGAGTTGTGCCAATCTCGGCTGGGCTTATCGTTGTCTAGGACAGTTCAAAACAGCAATCGATTACCATCAACGTCATCTAGAAATTGCTAAAGAAGTGGGAGACAAGGCCGGAGAGGGGAAGAGTTCTGCCAGTCTCGGCTGCGTTTATGGTGGTCTAGGACAGTTCAGAACAGCAATCGATTACCATCCACGACATCTAGAAATTGCAAAAGAAGTGGGAGAGAAGGCCGGAGAGGGAAACAGTTATGCCAATCTCGGCTGCGCTTATGGTGGTCTAGGAAAGTTCAAAACAGCAATCGAGTACCATCAACGTCATCTAGAAATTGCTAAAGAAGTGGGAGACAAGGCCGGAGAGGGAAACAGTTATGACAATCTCGGCTGCGCTTATGATGGTCTAGGAAAGTTCAAAACAGCAATCGATTACCATCAACGTCATCTAGAAATTGCTAAAGAAGTGGGAGACAAGGCCGGAGAGGGAAACAGTTATGCCAATCTTGGCTGTGCTTATCGTGGTCTAGGACAGTTCAAAACAGCAATCGATTACCATCAACGTCATCTAGAAATTGCTAAAGAAGTGGGAGACAAGGCCGGAGAGGGAAAGAGTTGTGCCAATCTCGGCTGCGCTTATCGTTGTCTAGGACAGTTCAAAACAGCAATCGAGTACCATCAACGTCATCCAGAAATTGCTAAAGAAGTGGGAGACAAGGCCGGAGAGGGGAAGAGTTATGCCAATCTCGGCTGCGCTTATAATGGTCTAGGAAAGTTCAAAACAGCAATCGATTACCATCAACGTCATCTAGAAATTGCTAAAGAAGTGGGAGACAAGGCCGGAGAGGGAAACAGTTATGCCAATCTCGGTTGCGCTTATAATGGTCTAGGAAAGTTCAAAACAGCAATCGATTACCATCAACGTCATCTAGAAATTGCTAAAGAAGTGGGAGACAAGGCCGGAGAGGGAAACAGTTATGCCAATCTCGGCTGCGCTTATGATGGTCTAGGACAGTTCAAAACAGCAATCGAGTACCATCAACGTCATCTAGAAATTGCTAAAGAAGTGGGAGACAAGGCCGGAGAGGGAAACAGTTATGCCAATCTCGGCTGCGCTTATGGTGGTCTAGGACAGTTCAAAACAGCAATCGAGTACCATCAACGTCATCTAGAAATTGCTAAAGAAGTCGGAGACAAGGCCGGAGAGGGAAAGAGTTGTGCCAATCTCGGCTGGGCTTATCGTTGTCTAGGACAGTTCAAAACAGCAATCGATTACCATCAACGTCATCTAGAAATTGCTAAAGAAGTGGGAGACAAGGCCGGAGAGGGGAAGAGTTATGCCAATCTGGGCTGCGCTTATCGTTGTCTAGGACAGTTCAAAACAGCAATCGAGTACCATCAACGTCATCTAGAAATTGCTAAAGAAGTGGGAGACAAGGCCGGAGAGGGAAAGAGTTGTGCCAATCTCGGCTGCGCTTATCGTTGTCTAGGACAGTTCAAAACAGCAATCGATTACAATCAACGTCATCTGGAAATTGCTAGAGAAGTGGGAGACAAGACCGGAGAGGCATCCTCGCTCTGTTATCTTGGAATAAATTTTGAGTGCCTAGGAAATCTCAAGAGGGCCTTTGACTGCTTTCACTCTTGTGTAGAGGCGTTTGATAGTATCAGGGCCGGTATGCAATTGAACGATCAGTGGAAGATCTCTTATCGCAATCAGCATAAAAGTGCATACACAGGCTTGTGGCGTATAAACCTAATTCAAAATGAATTTCTCAACGCTCTTCTTGCCGCAGAAAAAGGACGTGCACAAGCTCTAAAAGATCTGCTACACACGAAATATCACCCCCGAGATTCTTCAAGGAACAGCGGCTCGTTCCTTGCCCTGAGTTTTGTTCCATTAGGTACAGTTTTCATGGCTATCAGTGGACCGTGCGTTTACTACTGGGTTTTCCTTAGCGACGATAATGTCCATTTGAGAAAGGTGCATGTCAACAATTATAAGTATCAGGAGGAATTGGAATTTTTCATCGAGCAACTGAACAAAACTGCCTTGAAGGAGATCGATTCAAGAGATGCTGTTAAATGCGAAAATCCTTCCCATGACTCGCCGAAAGCGGCGGAAGTGGCAAACGATATGATTCAAATTGATGTAAGGTACTCACAATCAAGTGCTCTACAGAAGCTTTATGACATCATCGTTACTCCTATTGCTGATCTGATCGAAGGCAACGAGCTTACAGTTGTTCCTGAGGGACCATTTTGTCTTGTGCCTTATGCAGCATTGGAGGACTCGAAGTCAACTTATCTGAGTGATTTAGTCAGAATTCGTGTGCTTCCGTCCCTGACGACCTTACAACTGATTAATGACTGCCCAGCTGAATTTCACATGAAGAGCGGTGCATTGCTTGTTGGCGACCCATGTTACAAAGAGATCATCTATCAGGGAAGACGGTTGGCGCAACTTCCGGGAGCAAGGAGAGAAGCGGAGATGATTGGACGAATTCTCAACATTTCCCCCCTCATTGGGGAAATGGCAACAAAAGATGAAGTGTTGAAACGACTTTCATCAGTGGCTTTAGTACACATAGCAGCACATGGTAAAATGGAAACTGGTGAAGTTATCCTGGCACCAAACACCACAAGAGAAACCCCTCAGCTTCAAGAGAAGGACTATGTACTGACGATGAAAGATGTCATGGAAGCTGGGCTGCGGGCGCGACTGGTTGTTCTAAGCTGTTGTCACAGTGCTCGTGGGGAGGTCATGGCCGAGGGTGTGGTTGGCATCGCCCGAGCATTCTTGGGTGCTGGCGCTAGATCTGTTGTGGTAACCTTGTGGGCGATTGCAGACGAGGGAACCCTGGAGTTCATGAGTTTCTTCTACGATGCACTTGCTAAAGGCAAGAGGGCAAGTGAAGCTCTCAATCAGGCCATGAAGTGTTTGAGAGAATCCGAAACCTTCAAGGAGGTGAAGTACTGGGCACCATTTGTACTTATTGGTGATGACGTCAAACTTGATTTCAACGAAATCAGTTGCTGATCCATGTAATTATTCTTTTCGTACCTTTATGCGCTACAAAGTAACTTTAAATCCAAATTATAGATACATATTTAATCATAAATGCTTTTTTTGCTATCTTACTGTGTAGAGTTTAGGAGTTTCTTTTTTTCCCGAGGAAATTGAGATGCTTTTAAATTGAGTAGACACGGACTTTTTCTTAGATAATTTGATAGGAGTAAAAAACAGCTTTCTGCTATAATAATTGTTGGGCAGTGTATCGTTTCATGTCGTAAGGCTGAATGAAAAATTTTCTATGATCTCGACGATTCTCCCTGAATTATGACTTTTTTACTTTTCAGTTAAGGCAGTGAGAATTGGAGCTGTATCATAGAAAAGACGAAAACCAACAAAGTAAAAAGTTGCCCGCAAGCGTTGATATTTGGAGCAGAAACCACAAGGCTACCTACAAAATCTTTTGTAAGAGTCCTCTTGTGAGAGCAGGGAAGAACCGAAAGAGCCTTCAAGAGCCCATACGGATCTCTGTTTTTTCAAACGTTGACTCTCCACTTGTCTTGAATGCTCTTATGAACTACAAGGATTTTGGAGACGCAGAGGGAAAAGGACTTTGTATTGTTTTGATTTTTAATGAATTATTGTTCGAACTAGCTTAGAAGTAATTTTTTTTAATTGTTGATGTACTGAAATTATCATCACATTTTTTTTTAATCTAAAACGAACGAGGTTGTTATCTATAAACAAGTTTTAGGTGTTACATTCACGTTCAAGTTGCAACACCTTGGAAACGTTCTCCCAAAATGGTTTTTCCATTTTTTTTTCTGAATCGGTTTTTACTTTAAGGTTTATATAAAGCTATCACAGCCATATGCATGTGTAAAGATTTCCACAGAACTTGAAAAATAATTGGTCGTTTGATTTTTCGATTATCTTAGTTACAGTCGAATGGAAATTGTAATTAACTTTTGGAGGAATTTTACCTAGTTATAATTAGTTCTTGTGTCACGAACATAAGATTTTTTCAATCAGTTTTGCCTTAAGGTTTATATAAGGCTATTACAGCCATATGCACGTGTAAAGATTTCCATAGAACTTGAAAAATAATTGGTCGTTTGATTTTTCGATTATCTTAGTTACAGTCGAATGGAAATTGTAATTAACTTTTGGAGGAATTTTACCTAGTTATAATTAGTTCTTGTATCACGAACATCAGATTTTCTCAATCAGTTTTGCCTTAAGGTTTATATAAGGCTATTACAGCCATATGCACGTGTAAAGATTTCCATAGAACTTGAAAAATAATTGGTCGTTTGATTTTTCGATTATCTTAGTTACAGTCGAATGGAAATTGTAATTAACTTTTGGAGGAATTTTACCTAGTTATAATTAGTTCTTGTGTCACGAACATAAGATTTTTTCAATCAGTTTTGCCTTAAGGTTTATATAAGGCTATTACAGCCATATGCACGTGTAAAGATTTCCATAGAACTTGAAAAATAATTGGTCGTTTGGTTTTTCGATTATCTTAGTTTCGGTCGAATGGAAATTGTAATTAACTTCTGGAGGAATTTTACCTAGTTATAATTAGTTCTTGTGTCACGAACATCAGATTTGTTGAAATTAAAATGGCAGAATTTTTTAAGGCCATGCCAGTATTTAATCCTAGTATTACCAATACTACGACAGTTTTTTCCTATGCGTTTGAACGCGATAAAGTGTTCATGAACACGCTGTTTAAACTAATTGTCCAATTACAAAACGAGAGGCTGGCCGGACAGGCAGGTTTACAGATTTGGCTCAAATTTTGCATGTAAACTTGGCTAGGGGTTCTAATCACTAAATGGATATTTTAAGATTAAACGCTCATTTGGAGCCCCACCAGGACATGGTTGTAAAGGGGCTGGTCAAGGCGCTTGTAAAGGCGCTTTTAAAGGCACTTGATAACACCGCGCTTTGATGATTGCGCCAAATTCTCCTTACTTGTAGTGGGAACTCTTGGAGTCTTCGGGTATGATCGGTTTCTCTAAGAAAAATAGTGGGAATCCAAACCCATGACTCAAAAAGGTCAACAGGAAGTCTATTCGACGAGCAGCTGGGAAAAATTCAAGTTTGAAATAAGGAAACATATTCTGTGCTAGAGATATGCCCAAAAACCAACAACTTTCTACCCACAAAATCAAAGAACGCTTTTCTCGTTAATCAAAAATCTTCCTTTCCCGAAAATCTAAATAAATAAAAATAAACATGAAGCCTAAATTAACATAAACAGAAAGTATTCTATGATTTTCTAAAAGACAGTTTTATTTTCAAAAAGTTCTGACATCAAAGGATTTCCTTCACGCTATATGGTGTTCAAGATCTGATTACAATTCTGTTTTTCGCTCTATCTTCAACAGCTCAACCTCAAATACCAATGTAGCGCTCCCTGAAAATATAAAATAATTGGCGTACATTCATTTTAAGTTGCGTTTTGAGGAAACAAGTTCATGCCGGAATATGATTGAAGAAGCCCTTCATGTATCCCACATGGAAAGAACCCCTTACACCTTAACTGGCCTAACATCAGTATGGGTATTTTCCACACTGTTCACTCTACATTTCCAAGGGCGTTAAGAGGAAAAATTTTGTGTAACAATCAAGAGCTTCTTTAGTTGGTGATTTCCTTTATTCTTGTGACCTTAATGTCTGACTCAGGGCTGATATTATTTAACAATTATTCACAAAAGTGGAGGCAAATAATTGTTATAACATAGCTAGTAAATTTGTCTAATCAAATTGAATGGCGCGAGCGTGCTTCATATTCCTGTGCACGCTTATGACGTCAGCAAACAAATCCCTCGGGAAAAACATTTTCCATCGGGTTGAAAATGTTATAAAAGAATTGGTTCATACATCAGCTGTGCGTTCATCGAAGCACTTGGGAAGTTTGGAGAGCACTCCAGAAGCTAGAGTTGCTCGAGGCGTAGCGAGAGCAACTCTTACGCATCTTTCGTGCTCTCCAAACTTCCCGCGTGCTTCATATCTCTATGAACGCACGCTGACGTATGAACCAATTGTTAATTTTAGCGGGTACCACACAAATACCAAAAATTTAGTTTGTTTCTTTCAATATACCAAAAATGGTCAGAAATTAAACTCTTGAGGTGCAATTTTGTGTCATCGGCCGCTGGAAGGTGATTAGTACTTGTTATTCACTTCCAAATAGCCAATCAGTGCGTGTGAAAAGTACAGTTCACCTGTGTGGTATATACTAAAGGGAGATATTAGATGCTGGTCACTTTTAGGGGTCAAAGTGTTAAGGAATTTTTATTTGCCACTTTACAATTGCTCATAGACCACTTGGTTTATCGCCCTGTGTTTTGCATTACCATGGTTCAAATTTCTCTGGTGACCTTAATTTAAATACATAGTTTAAGAGTGTAGACAATATGAGTTATGAGCCATTAATACTTAAAATAATTCCAACTATCATTATTAAAATAATGATAGTTGTAGTTTTGTGGTTTTTCCTTTTTTGTCAGATTATGTGCATCCAATTTAGTGACTTACATGCTGTGAGGAGAGACTGGCAGAGTGTCAATGAACAAATCTGTGGGGGAGGTGGGTGGGGTGGCTTTAATGCCATACTTCAAAATCGAATCTCTCCATATTTCACAATTTCAGAGGTTGGCATCAATAGCGCAAGTGTTCATGTAATGCTCTGACTCAGCATTGTCTCTGTTGACCACAAGCTGCTAAGTCACCTGGGATCTTAGGGGGAGCTCATCTGTCCCCATAACCTGCACAAAAGAGAGAAAAATCCTCTGAGTATAGCAAAAACAGCTGAAAATTACTTCAATATGACTGCTAAAATTCTTGTGTTATCCAGCTTGCTAGTATGTAACAAATAAAGTAATTATCTGTATAAGCTTACAGTTCAAGCATGGTAAGTTGTCCTGTTATCAATCCTACTAGTATAGCTGCAACTATTATTCATTGCATTGGACATAAATTATATACTTAAATATCAGAGGAAGGACTTACCAAGGTCTGATAGGACTACAAGTTTCCTCTTTTCTCCTTCACACATACTAAAAACAACACAAAAAAGTTTTAATGAACAATAACAACCACAAGTTTAATTATACCTTGAGTAAGTAACAACAAAATGTTAAAACAGAAAAGCTGGTAGCTGGGCACCAAAAAGAACTACAGGAACTATATAATATGTCAGTCAGCCTGTCCCCATCATGCCCTAAGGCACATATGATCATAAAAAGAGAACATCACTGTTGCCTTTCCTTCCCTTTCCTCCTCAGCTCTTCCCAGCTGACCCTATTCTCTTGAATCTCTTTTTCATTGGCCATTACCAGTTGCTGTACTACTCAAGTACCCATTTAACAATGTAAGATTATATTTTGTATGCTAAAACAATACCAAATCAAATGACAACTCTTTGGCTTAACTCTACTGACTAGAAATATTTCATTTTTTTCATAGTTTTTTAAATTTTAGCAATAACAGTATTTCAAGTTGTTAACTAATCAACTGATGCTTTTCAAGATTGCATAAAAAAGACTTCCAAAGAGGTTGGTTTTAATGTTTTGTAATTTAATGTCCAGAAGTAATTGAACAGGTTAAATAGTGTAAAAAGAATTTTATGTTTGCTGCTAGTTCCACATTTGCTGAATGGTTTGAAGTCAGTTTATTAATAACTGTTCAGGTTCTCTTCAGCCTTAGCTTTAAGTGGAGAGAGCAAAAAAAAAGTCGATTTAATAGACCCCCCAGACAATAACAAGTCAGGTCCTAAGTACAGATACATCTATGCCTGCCAAGTCATGCGCACAATGCTTGGCACTTCATGCTTGCACACTCAACATTGAATCACCGGCCAGAAATTCTCTTACACCTGACTACTAAATCCAGACCACTTATCCATGACTCATATGCATTGGCACTTATACTGCAAAATTCACCCCAGCTTTAACAAAATCAAAAATAGGGAACAACAAAGTTCAAAAGCTTGCTTTTCACAGTTTACTTTT